GCTGGAGAAGGAGAAGAGCGAGTACAAGATGGAGATTGACGACCTCTCCAGCAACATGGAGGCTGTTGCCAAAGCAAAGGTATGCTATATTTTTAAATAGTTTAAATAAATAAAGGAAGAAAAACTACAACCACTTACAATTTCAGTTTTCAGAATATCCAAATAATGATCACGTCAATTAAATGTTAATTACAGGGTAATCTGGAGAAAATGTGCCGTACTCTTGAAGATCAACTGAGTGAAATTAAATCCAAAAATGACGAAAACGTTCGCCAGCTCAATGACATGAGTGCACAGAGGGCAAGACTGCAAACAGAGAACGGTGTGTATCCTAACATGCAAAATGTGTAATACTAGATTAATTAGTTCAGATACAAAGTATTGCAATGTTTAAACTGGTGTACTTTGATTTGTACAGGTATAGTAATTATTCAAATAACTGATATTTAACTGTTGTAGGTAATGAAAAGCATGGTTATTGAAATCCCATGTTACAGGTTATAATGTTTTGTTACCTGTTGTTATGTATTGTATGTAGTACTATTTAAAGAAAACTGACAATGTTGTGGTATAATGGAAAGCACTTTCAACCATATTTTAGGTATGAAGAAAGCCACTCAAATCCTATTCTTACTCTTGTTCATTCAGGTGAATTTGCTCGCCAGCTTGAGGAGAAGGAAGCTCTCATTTCCCAGCTCACCAGAGGCAAACAGGCGTACACTCAGCAGATTGAAGAGCTTAAGAGACACATTGAGGAAGAAGTGAAGGTACGAAGAGCTTACATTTGTATTATCCACTTTGTAATGCAAGATGTGCAAAGGGTGTCTATCTATTCATCAAGTATGATATCTCCAGTGACATCTCAGGCATGGCTGGTTAGATTTGAACAAAACCTGGGTGAAAGACAGATCTATACACTGTAAACCACTGTTAAAAATTGACTGCATAAGTGAAGCCCCTTACTTTGTAAACTGAATTTTATACATTAGACACTGATTAAAAAACATTAATTTGTTTTTTATGTTCTGTGTTTTGGGTATGTACTATAGTATGTTAACAGAATTAATTAATACTTTCATGCTTTTTATGATAAATTCAAAGGCCAAGAATGCCCTGGCCCACGCTGTTCAGTCAGCCCGCCATGACTGTGACCTGCTCAGAGAGCAGTTTGAGGAGGAGCAGGAGGCCAAGGCTGAGCTGCAGCGAGGAATGTCCAAGGCCAACAGTGAGGTGGCTCAGTGGAGAACCAAATATGAGACTGATGCTATCCAGCGCACTGAGGAACTGGAGGAGGCTAAGTATGTAACTACCTGTTCATTGTTTTAATTCGTTTTCCTTAAATTTATTTGTTCAAATTAACAATAGAAATTAACAAATTAATTATTCTTCATTACAGGAAAAAGCTTGCCCAGCGCCTGCAGGATGCTGAGGAATCCATTGAGGCTGTCAACTCTAAGTGTGCCTCTTTGGAGAAGACCAAGCAGAGGCTGCAGGGTGAGGTGGAGGACCTCATGATTGATGTGGAGAGAGCTAATAGTCTGGCAGCCAACCTTGACAAGAAGCAGAGGAACTTTGATAAGGTAAATATTTCAACTGGAAATCAAAACCAATTTTATCTGAAGAAAACATACCTGAAGTAGTAACCAATCATTTAATTAACCTATACAAATCTAGGTCCTTGCAGAATGGAAACAGAAGTATGAGGAGGGCCAGGCAGAGCTGGAAGGAGCCCAGAAGGAGGCTCGCTCTCTCAGCACTGAACTGTTCAAGATGAAGAACTCTTATGAGGAGGCTCTGGATCACCTGGAGACCATGAAGAGAGAGAACAAGAACCTGCAGCGTATGTCAACTGTTATCTATGTTAAAGGCAAATAATGATTTATTACCAGCTGTGAGGTGTCTAACAATGGTGAACTTTATAATTTCTCTGTAGAGGAGATCTCAGACTTGACTGAACAGATTGGTGAGACTGGAAAGAGCATCCATGAGCTGGAGAAAGCCAAGAAGACAGTAGAAAGTGAGAAGGCTGAAATTCAGACTGCCCTGGAGGAAGCAGAGGTATTACCTCTTACTTTTCATTTGTTTGTCATTGCAACAATTGATGTACTGTTGCTCTAATGGTGCTCTATGGCATTAGTCTTTTAAGAAATTAAGAAACTAATTTCAAATTTGTTTTGTCATACTGACAAAGTAGACATTTTGGTATGTAGTTATACTTAGCTGACTTTTCTTGCAGGGCACACTGGAGCATGAGGAGTCCAAGATTCTCCGTATTCAGCTTGAGCTCAACCAGGTCAAGGGTGAGGTTGACAGGAAGCTGGCAGAGAAGGATGAGGAGATGGAGCAGATCAAGAGGAACAGCCAGAGGGTGATGGACTCCATGCAGAGCACTCTTGATGCTGAGGTCAGGAGCAGAAATGATGCCCTGAGAGTCAAGAAGAAGATGGAGGGAGACCTGAATGAGATGGAGATTCAGCTGAGTCATGCCAACAGGCAGGCTGCTGAAGCACAGAAACAACTTAGGACTGTCCAGGGACAGCTCAAGGTGAGTTTTGTGCAATTGCTGAATTAAATAAACTGTTGGAAAGTAAAGAAAGTTAATATCAACACTTTTTATGTTGTCAGGATGCCCAACTGCACCTTGATGATGCTGTCAGAGGACAGGAAGACATGAAGGAGCAGGTTGTCATGGTGGAGCGCAGAAATGGCCTGATGGTGGCTGAGATTGAGGAGCTGAGAGTCGCTCTGGAGCAGACAGAGAGAGGACGCAAAGTGGCTGAGCAGGAGTTGGTTGATGCTAGTGAGCGTGTCGGACTGCTTCACTCTCAGGTTTGTTTCCATTCATTCAGAATAAACTAGTGTTCCTGAAAATACATTATATACATTATATTAAACATGACTTGTCTTAAACATTCAGAATACCAGTCTTCTGAACACCAAGAAGAAGCTGGAGTCTGACCTTGTGCAGATTCAGGGTGAAGTGGATGATGCTGTTCAGGAAGCAAGAAATGCTGAGGAGAAGGCCAAAAAGGCCATCACTGATGTGAGTTTACATCTACAACTCTCTTATGTTATCTTTTTGGTCTACTACATGCACTGATGATGTTAAGTTTACTTACTTTCCTATTGATTATGAATGAATTGGAAAACATTTTATAATTTCAGGCTGCCATGATGGCTGAGGAGCTGAAGAAGGAGCAGGACACCAGTGCTCACCTGGAGAGGATGAAGAAGAACCTGGAGGTCACAGTCAAGGACCTGCAGCATCGTCTGGATGAGGCTGAGAACCTCGCCATGGAGGGTGGCAAGAAGCAGCTCCAGAAACTGGAGTCCAGGGTATGATCTGTATATAATGCTCACAGTTTAGTGTAAGAATGAAAAATACACTTTAAAATTCATAAAAAAACTGCCTTACTTTCTCTGCACTCGAATACTTTCAGAAAACGTAGATTTTTTTAATAAACACATTACAGGTGCGTGAACTGGAGGCTGAAATTGAAGCTGAACAGAGACGTGGAGCTGATGCTGTTAAAGGAGTTCGCAAATATGAGAGGAGAGTGAAGGAGCTGACCTACCAGGTAAACTCAATTTCACAAAAAAATTACCATAATAACTGCTTGATTCTGCTTCAACATTTCTTAAGTGACAATTCTTAATTTGTACAGACTGAGGAGGACAAGAAGAATGTGCACAGACTCCAGGATCTGGTGGACAAGCTGCAGCTCAAAGTCAAGGCTTACAAGAGACAGGCTGAGGAGGCTGTGAGTCAACTACATTCATATGACCAATCATTTACAGTTGAATTAAAAATTATATCACCATTAACAACTTAATTAATATAACTTCACAGGAGGAGCAGGCCAACACTCACATGTCCAAACTCAGGAAGGTCCAGCATGAGCTAGAGGAAGCTCAGGAGCGCGCTGACATTGCTGAGTCCCAGGTCAACAAGATGAGAGCCAAGAGCCGTGATGTTGGAAAGGTATCTTTTCATTCTCTTTGACAGTGTCATGTATTAACCATATGAGTACTACATAATGACCTCTGAAACAAATGACTAGTTGCAGTATGCTTTTCCACAAGCTATTTTGCTGATAACAGATCAACATCACTCTGTATAAATACCTAAGCTTTATTTCTAGTTTTCTCATTCCATAAAATGCTTTTTTCATCAGTATATAGTAAATGTTACCATATTGCTATGATAGTACATCCCCGCAAACACTATCTACAAGTACTAATTATCTGTTTTACTTTCAGGGAAGTGACTCTGCTGAATGAGATACAAGTTTCCAGCTGAGGCATTTCAATCAAGTTCATACAATATGAGCCTCTGAGAATTTTCTTGTGTAAATCTTCAATAAATGTTAAAAATGTCCCGTGTTCCTTTTTCTTTTTTACTTGTCTGTCATACTTAACTTACATAACCAAGTTAATTTAGGTAACAGTTGGATGACACTATTAGAACAATATGTGTCAATTATGACGACCAAACTGACAAATTGTTGCTAATCATATAGCTGCAAGTTCAGTTAAGATCAAATGTTACACATCTTTTCCATCATGTGCTGTAGTTGAGATGCACCAGCGATTTATAGAAAACAGGTGTTGTAGTAAAATGTTACAGGTAGGCTCTAAGCTCATTTGTCAATCATGGGGGTCAACTAATCAAGAGCAAACATGAATTGGCAATCAGGTTTAATTAAGGTATTTTTATTTTTATTGTTATACTGCTTTTTCAGTTTCACACAGTTTGCCAGAGTTGCGGGTTTAATTGCAGCCTACCTAGAGTTTCTCTCTTTGGATAAGCAGCTAAAGTAGTAATATCTTTAAGTGCATACACTGCATTTACATTTGTAAAAGCAAAGCAATTACTTCTCACCTACACCACAGCTGTTTACACAATATATACACACACACACACACATATATATATTTATATATATATAAATATATATATATATATATAAATATATATATATATCAGTGTGGGCATATGAAAACCAAAAATACTATTTTATAAACATTGTTGCATTAGTTACTGTCCAAGCCAATTACTGGCAGCTCACATTTGACCTCTATTGTTCTCCTCAATAGATGATTTACAATGTTGCATACTATTGTTTATTGCCACCATCCTTTCTATCTTTCTTTCCACCCCCCTTTCCCTTTCCTTGGTCTGCCTTTTCCCTCCCCTTTCCAGGATCCCCTTTATATTTCTGCCCTCCTTTCTGCATCTGGGCTGTATGAATCTTCTCAATCAGGGAGAAGCAGTCTTCATCTGGACTGATGGGGCTGGTCACAAGCTCCCCCTGTTCATGTGGGCATGAAGTTACAGGATATGCTTTACAGGTTGCACCTGGGTTGGGAGATGATGATCTTGAGCGGGCTTTCCTGGGACTTGCACGGCTTGGAGAGCAGTGCCTGGACTTAACATCTTCTTTTGGGACAAGGTTTAAGTTGAAGGACAGGGGTCTGCCAGGTCCTGGACTCAGAGGAATCACAAGGTTATCTCCTGGGGCTCCTAGAGTGAGAAAGACCTCTGGGAATGTACATGGCTGATCATCATTCTCCCGTCCCTTTGAGAGATAAAAGAGTCAAATAAGCATTGATGAAGCCACACATCTTTTATTAAGACAATAACCTGTCACAAAGAACATTTCCAGAAATCATTCCTACCTTTCCCCATAACACTACAATAACTCGGTATGACAGGTGAACACACTGCTGCACTACCATCTGTCTATATTATACTTTTACTGCATTTATTGCTGTTTTTGATATTTATATTGAATATTTTATATATTTTGCGTATGAATATCTGGCTCTACACACTTGCAATTCAACAGCTGTGGCTTTTCATTTTTAACCCCAGTCTGCTGTAACAATTTCCCTCACTGGATCAAGTGAAATAAAGAAATAAAGAAATAAAGAAATAAAGAAAGTCAGTCAGTCAGTCTGTCTGTCTGTCTGTCTTACCTGCTGTGGTGTGAAACTCATGGACACCCTCACTGTCACCTGTAAAAAAAACAAAAAAACAAAAACAAATCATTTTTCAATACAAAGTGTTTCAGTAAATCTTGTTTAGCCTTTTTAATTTATTAGTGGCAAACTACATGCAGTTATTTTTCAAATCATTACAAGCTGGACCCAAGTTCTTTGCTTACTTAAGTGTCAAGCATTTTCACTTTTATCTGTTTGATGTCCTTCAGTGAAAATCGTTACAGAACAATACATTTTAAACTATTAAAACTATAAAAAAGTTTTTTTTTCTCTCTCCCAGAAGTCACACTTCTAATGAAAAAGAAAATTACCTGTGCTGGGGAATTTAGATTCTTCTGATATTCTGTTTCAGGTGTAAACGAAGCAGATTTTGGCAGGACACTGGGGGAGCCATATGCTGCATTAGCCATTTGGGGTTGAGAGGTAGGTCTGGAATAGTCCTTCCTTGGTGTTGTTGGTGTACTCTCAGCAACAGTGATGTGTGGTGGACGAGCCTTGCAGAAGAAAAATGAAAACAAAAGGCAGTCGAGTTGTCAAATATTCCACCATAATAGCTGTGATTTATTAAATGGACATAAAGCTGTTTATAAGGGAAACATTTTGATGTTAACATACTTTTCTACTTAACATAATAACTTAACTTAATTTCGAGATGTAAAGGTACTCCTAAAAATTCTATTCAGCTGAGCTATTCTATAGGGGGGACTTGTGGTATGCAGTATGTTTCTGCCATGAGTTATAGTACTGTAGTCACAAGAATGTGCCTGCACACTGACACAAAACAAATCATGATCTGCATACCATTCACTTCGTGGGCATGTGACAAATAACATTTAGCAACATTTGACAATATTCATTTATTTCCACACTACCAATAAGTTGTGTTACTCACTGGATTCCCAGACTTCGTATTTTCTTTTCGTTCAGAATTCCCACTTATGCCTGGCAGAGTAGGAAGTGAAACACGCTGATCGTCTAGCCGTCGTGCCTGACTGGAGGCAAGGATTTTGAAGAATGCATCAGCCTCTGCACCTGTTACGAAGAGCCAAGAGTTATCTCCGTGACATTTCAGTGGCAGAAAACACATACTTGACCTTTTCGTGCCTTGTGTGTTTTTCTGACCTGTGGGTACGTTATTCAAAGCACTTCCATTGTGTGTGGGGGTGGCAGGGTTACTTTTGCTCGGTTGTAAAGAGCAACGTTGCTCATCCATACGTCCACCCTGTGCCTTACTTATTATTTTGAAAAACTTCTCCTGCTCAGCTGGAGTTGAGTCCTGAAAAAGATTTAAAGAAAGAAAAGCAATGAGAAGTGGGACAAACAACTTGGCCATTGGAGGCAGCCACTGAAAAAAGTAAAGAGGACAAAATGAAAGAACTAAAATTTTTTAAGGGATCATGACAGTAGACACACTGGCAAAACTATAAGCTGTGTATTGAGCAGCATGACATCTCACCTGCTGATGTTGGTCGGTTTTGTCACGGTTTAAAGAGGCAGACCTCTGGGGAGTTTCATCAGATGTGTCTGATTTGGGATTCTGGAGGATTTGGGGTGCACAACATCTTTGTTCATCCATCCTAGATCCCTGTAGGAGTAAAATGTGATTCACTGTTGAAATGTTGGATAAAAGCACCTGGATGCATTGTTAAAAATAATCTATAACTATAAAAAAAAAACATGTAAAGACATTGTGGAACATAATGAAAAAGACACAATGGTTTTTACAACATGCTATTTATGGGGCAAACCTGGACTTTGGAGACCATGTAACACAGGTAGCTTGCATCCATCTCTGCCGCAGTTGATGTTGATGTGGTACCACCATTCTGTATCCCTGGCAATGAAGGAAGAGACACTCGCTGGTCATCAAGCCGTCGGCCTTGAGAGTTGGCCAACAGGTTGAGGAACTTTTCAGAATCTGGACCTAGGAAGAGACACATGAAAATGCAATGAAATTGTAATTTTAAGAACATTAAATGCAAGAAAAAAAGGCAAACTTGTTTGGATTCAACCTTTGGGCATGGTGCTCTGACTGGGCTTGTGTTTCGGCGTGGACTGGGGAGTAACATTTAAGACACATCGTTGTTCATCCATTCGCCCACGCTGGGAATGACTCATTAGGTTAAAAAAATCTTCCTGATCAGTTGCAGCCAAGACCTAAAAAGTGTAAAGTACCTCTGTAAGTCAGCAAAGTAAAAATGTGAAAAATAAATTATATGCAAACAGAAATCAATATTCAGATTGCAGAACTTTAGACTTTACTGTTTTAATATGTAGATGTTGTAATTTATTGTAATTTATCTCCTGGATTTAGAAATGATAGCAGAGTCTTGAGAATATACCTGTTTTTGAGATGCTTTATCTTTGCTCTTTGGTCGTTCTATGTCTGAACTGGGACTGAAGGAGGCTGAGCGTGGAGGGCTTAAACCAGACACATCCTTTTTAGGTGAAGACTGGCTGTCCGGGGTTCGGATTTGAGGTAGCGAGCACCTTTGGTCATCCATTCTGGAACCCTGAGAAGGCATTAGGTCAGGATTCCTTAGCCTTTTTGGTCAAGAGGTAGTCTTTTTTAACACCAAAACTTCCAAAGAGCATTGAGTAAATGCTCAAGATAATAATAAGCTTTGACATGATGTTTCCATGAAAAAAAGATTTTGAAGCATTGTACATCTTAACTACAAGAGTCTGTAAAGTTATGGCTGTTTGGCTTTGTGTGGCATCCTACAAATTATGTTTTATTTGTGTAATATTTTGTTCATATTCTAGTTTCATATTTGTGCAACATTTAAAGTCAAAGCCAACAGTACTACAGTATTTTAGTACTTTCATCAATTGCTGTTAAAAATGTAAAATATGTTGTTCTTTGAAATGAGAAGCTCCAACCTGGACTTTAGAGACCATGTAACACAAGTAGTTTGAATCTCCTCCTGCAGTAGATGTGTCATTTCTGTCTTTCTGTAATCCTGGTAATGACGGAAGAGAAACTCTCTGGTCGTCGAGCCGTTGGCTCTGAGTGTTGGCCAAGAGGTTGAATAACATTTCAGTATCTTGACCTAGGGAAGATGAAATATGAAAACCAGTGAAATTGTTAAGGAACTGTGTGGACAATGAACTTTAAAACTGAAAATGCAACTTGTCTGAACCTGAATCTAGAAATCACAATTGCAAAAACTGCAACACACATCTGGAAATGTCTACAGAGAAAGAGATTTTGAATACAATGAGTTTTAATGTACCTGCAGCAACCTTTCTGTCTGTTTGTTTAGGTGTGCAAGGAGCACTCTTGCTAGGATTTAAGGAACAGCGCTGGTCATCCATGCGTCCACGCTGTCCATGGCTGATCATGTTCATGAACTTTTGTTGTTCATCAGGTGATTCTTCCTATTAGACAAATACAGTGAGATTTGACCAAATGAGGATGAATAACATTTAATAACACAAGCCAGTATGAGAAATCTTTAATGATTATAGCAATCGGAATGACATAATGGAACAGAACAGACCTTTATGGAATTGGAGCAGTCATTCTGAGAGGGAACCTGTAATTGGTTGGCTGGTAAAAGAACTTTCCTGTTTCTATCTGGAGTACTCTCGGTCACAGAGATCTGAGGTGCAGAGCCGTGATGGTTATCACTCTGAGGTCCCTTAGAAAACAAGTCACATTTTGGAGTAGACTTCAGTCACTTATTCATTACACCAACTGTGAAGGGACTTGCACTCAGCCCTTTACAACCTAAAGCAAAGTACCTTGCTGTTAAACCCTGGCAATGACACCTTGAGGTCATCAAGGCGCTGTCCCTGCTTGTTGTCTGAGGTATGGGACGACAACTCATGGTTTGAACCTGTGGGGGACAGGGGTGAAACCATCAAAAATCAATCTACAAAAGGACACATACAATGCCAATGGGATCTGTGTGTCTACTGTCCCAACCTGTAGTTTTGATTTGTGCTGTTTTAACAGGACTCAAGGTGCAGCGCTGTTCATCCATTCGTCCCCGCTGTGAGAAACTCATTATGTTGAGGATCTGCTCCTGTTCTGGAGATCCCTGTTGACCATTGGACAAAAGAATGAGCAAATACTGAAATAATATATATATGAACTATGACAGGTTATAGGCAATGTTGTTGGCCTTGGCACTAAATCAGTTATCCCAGACCATTGTGGCTTATCACCTTATGTAAATCTTAACAGAATAATAATTATTCCTTTTCACACTTTCCATATCACAGCAAAATTTGTGGAGCCCATGATTGGGATCAATGTCAGATATAAATGTAACATCAAAATGTCAATTACAATATATTACATTATCAAAACATTGTGATAAAATATATACTATGCAAAAGAATAAATACAACAGACAATACAACAGAATATTTACTTCTCTTGACTTGATTACTTTCTAGAACTAACCCTTACTTAATTATATACAATAAGAATCAAAAATAAGAACCAAACATCAAAGGTAAAAATGAATCTTATGCTACAAAGGACTTACCTCCACAGTGTTGGTAGTGTCCGATTTTGATTCCATTTCGGCAGCTGCTATTATAAAAAATAATACAAAAAAGAGAAAAGATCCCCAACTGAAAGCTAGATCAACTGTGAACTAGTACAAAACGTTACATAAAAGTACTTCCTGTAAACAACAGAGAATCCATTCAATACTTCTTGAACATAACTACTGTATAGCAATGGAAATGATGATGACTGATGCCAGTCCAAATGTGTACTGGATACGGCTTGGTGGAAGGCTTTTAAATAGAGTTAAGTCCTGAGTATTAACCCATTGCCATTAAGACCCCAACCAGTGGCCCGTTTTTAATATTACCATCTGTAATCCCAGATGAAAACATAATCCTCAACATGGAGAGGGATGATCTTTTTCACGGGTAGGTGTACATGTTCAACCTTATGATCTAACACTTTACTTAAAGTTCACGTTTGCATTTTAAACCCCCTACATTGTCATTACGTGGTGCAAGCAGGCATATGCCTGAGATAAACAAAACTGCCACTGTTGTGATAAACTCATACTATCAACAGGATACAAAAGATTTTTTACATTTGTACTGAGGGTTCATTTTGGCTGGTTATAATTAATGAATAAGGAATTGAGGTCAAACAAAAAACTATGAAAACAACGTAAAGAAAAACAATATATACAAACATACTTAAATATAAAGTCAGATGATATTAACTGGTGAAAATGGTACTGAAAGCATGATAGTAATTAAATGAACTATAATAAAGACAAACTGTATGAGTTAAATTGTCATAATTAGCGTATGAATTCATGATTTATACCCGAAAAACATGTTTTGTGAGGTCACAGTGACCTCGATCGCTGCCCATGAAAATCTAATCAGTTCATCTTTGCCTCCAAGTGGACATTTGTGCCAAATTTGAAGAAGTTCCCTCATGTTGTTACTGAGATATTGCGTTCACAAGGCCAAAACTGTTTGGTGAGGTCACTGCGACATTGATCTTTGACCACCAAAATTCAATCAGTTCATCCTTGAGTACGAATGAATGTTTGTGCTAAATTTGAAGAAGTTCCCTCGAGGTGTTACTGAGGTATCATGTTCATGACAATGGGACAGACAGACAGACAACCCAAAAACATAATAAAAATTAATAAAAATAAAAACATCAAATACTAACAGATTACAGTTTTAAACATTTAAAGTCATGAGGATATAAACATTTGCATATTGATGAACCAATAATAGGCTGGTTTAGGTCTGTTGAGCATAGTTGTGAATATTGAATAAAGACATACAATAAACGCATGTTCTCTTAAAAGCAAGGATTTTAGGAGAGCATATTAAAGGTGGTTACATAAGATACCAAAGTCAAAAGATCTCCACAATGATTCAAAATAATCCAGAGCATTGAAGTTCAAACCAGACTTTGGGATCAGTTTGTGTGTGTTACCCATTTAAAGTAACTTTTTATGTCAAATCCTCTGGAATACTACTCACAAGACACAATTTAAAGTGAATCTTATGTTTCTTTTATTACTCATTTTTAACAACAAAGACACAATCACTCACCACACTTGCTCCCAGCAATATATTAAGGTATATGGTAAATGTGCAAGATATCATAAGACAGCAGTTGAGACATTTTATCTAAGATTACATTTTCAAGAGGAGGGGAAAAAAGATATCACACACTTAATGTGACTGAACACGATACATACTTCTATTGACTTATGTACATCTACATTATACTTGAAGATTTTTGGTGTAAGATGATCCAGTTTTGTGGAAATTACGTCGTTTTTGAGTACAAAATTTGGTAAATCAAAAATACAATAACAAAAATAAGAATTTGAATGAAAATAGTACAATAATCAAAATATTATTAATGTCTAATTAAATATTTTAACACAATCTTAATCACAGCAGTATACAAATCCCAATTCACAACAAACAATAAAAATAATGTTCTAAAATAAAATAAAGAATCACAAATCTTTCCTTTCATGGCTACATCTAAAATTTCTCTTCATGTTTCACTTCAGCTGTCAAGAGATGCTGTGACAGAAGACCAGCAACTGATCATCTCGAACGAAAGACTAAACCCTTATTCCAGTGTGCTCCTCCCTGTTCGGGATCAAATTATCTAACAATCAGGATTAGGAACTTGGTCCAGACTCTTCAGGTCATTAAGAAAGTTGGTTGGAGTCAGGATGTGAGATGACCCTGTCAAAGAGATAATTATATTTATATTTAAAGCAAAACATTGTAAATGCTGCAAATCTGGAGGAAGCAGATACAAGAATTGTGGCCTTTGTGTGATGCAGTGATTGCTTACCAATCAGCACTTCCCATTTCCCCTCAGTGGCTCGAGTGACTTCATAAGCAGAACGCATCTCCGAGTGTGAAACACCACCAATCACAAATATAATAAGTCGAGGGCCGGAGCGATACTCTGTTGGAGATTTATTTTTGTGCCAGTGTCCAAAACGTGCACTGCTGTAAAAGAATTACAACAATAATTGAGCAACAAGTAACTATTACTAAAACTAAGGCCTGTTTGTGAGCAGCCAGTTTCAGTTTTTAATGATGATCCATTATTGATCACATCCAATAACAGCAACTACTGCAAGAGGGCTGTCACTTTTCATTTGAAATTCGAATATTCGTTCGAACGTGGGACCGAACGTAATGGCCTGTTTGAAATGTAGGCTACAGTCTCTATAATCGCATCAGACCATCAGCAGGTAATATTGTTAATAAAAAGATAGCCAAACTTGATCAGGATCATGTTAATAGACTTGTGTTTCTGGCAAATAATATGAAAAATTAGGTCGGGCCGTTTGGCTTGACTTTCGGTTCCATGTTTTACCTTGCTACATTTTTAGTTCAAAGGTGTCGGAGCTCCCTCCTGTTTTCTGGCGTACTGTGTGTTATATGTTACTGTAGCACTTTGAGACTTTGAGTTTCACTAAAATGAAAAGTGTGGCTAATTTTTTTAAAACGTTGTTTTATTGAGAGCAAGGTAGAAGTGACAGGCAGAAAGAAAAAAAACGATGAGTTAATACAGCCAACAGCCGTTAAAAATGTAACATTTGATTGCTGGAAGAGTAGTGACAGCCTATACTGCAATGTAATGATGTGCTCCTCTTTGATACAGTATTGTGAAGAAACTGACCCTGATTAATAAAATGTGATATCTGTTAATATATCTGTAATCTGAATCTGTTGACAGTGTGTCCAAGACAGAAAAAGGTATCAGCAGTCTGGAGGCAAACAGTCAGCTGCACTTATATTTATATTTCATTGTAATGCTTTGCTTACAATCTATGATACTTAGTGTCAAAATGTTGCAGAAGAGGCCAAATTTACCTCTTTTCCTACTGCCATGTCCACTTTTATATAGCCAGCCGTATATAGCTAGGTTATCTTCTAGTGTTAATATTAATGAGTACTCAGCTTTAATTCTGCACTTTGCTAAAAAGGAAGGAGACAAGCATTGTGCATTATACAGATTAAGACTGAACCCAGGTTCATCAGGGTGGTTTGTATAAGCACCATCATCATGGTGGGTATTCCCTGGGGGATTACAGACTATTCAAAGCAAAACTGGCTTAATTTCACCTTTTCAACTCCAACCCACTTCGTCAGAAGTGAGTTGGAGCTCCAGCTAAGTTACAGGGATAAAAGCTTTTATTTGACAACAACAATCTGTCTGCTCTCCCAGTTAATATTTTTGTTGGTTAAAATAAAGTCAAAACAATGGAAATTTTTATTTTTGGAACATGAGAAAAGTATTTTTTTCTTAGCTATCATGTTCTTCCTTTAAAAAAATATATTTCTTTATATATCACGCACGCACCTGACTGTAGTCTGAGTTGTATTGATTGGAGCAGGATCAGAGATGAAGGGCCATTGCTTTCTGTCCAGTTTGTCCTCTATGGCATTCTGCAATACAGAAACACAGATGTTGTCAAAAGCTGAAAGCAAGACTTAGCAGGTGTACCACCAACACCTGAAACCTGATTTTGGCTTTTATACCTCCATGACATCTTTGATGATGGGTGTCCATCTAGAGAGCTCATATGTGCTCTCCGTGCGCTCCTTCCGTTCTGGCAGCGTTTTCCCAGCATTGCAGCCCTAACAAACAATACAACTTGTGTAAAAAATCCCAGTAGTACACAAAATTGAGACTGTAGCCAAACTGTATTCAAAACATTTACCCCAGCTATAATGTTACAGCCCAGGTTCTGCAGGTTGGTAATGATGTTGCTGTCAGCCTGTATGTTTGCATGCTGGATGAGCTTGGCAAGGTTCTCCTCCCCGATGCCTATATGGATAACCAGACTCTAATTTATAAATGCTTAAGGTGATGGTAACAC